TTGGGGTTGCAGTGAGTTGGTAGCAATTTGATGGCACATTCATCTTCGTACTCCCAGGAAAGTGCCCCTATGATTGCAGCCACAGCCACTTACCCACAGGCTTACAAACCGAGGGAAAAGGGAGAGGGACATCAGTCTGAGAACAAAACCAGCATTTCAGCTGGAGCCATACAAACCTTTCCTCCCTGGTGTTCTTTATGAGTTGGAGGTGCTGCTGCTATCCTGCACCCCTTAGTTCACAGACCGGTGACAGGGGGCAGCGTATTCTTTTCTTCACTTTTACTTAAACAAGAAGGCCTGATGTCCAGAGCCCTCAAATGCATGCAGACCCAGATGTACCCCTCAAGCTAAAAAAACCCCTGCATGTATTTAGGCCATTTATATCTCACCATTGTACTTTTGTATAAAGCACTCAAGGCAGCTTGCAGACGTGGCAACTAGGAAAATAACCAATGTCCAACTTCTGTTAAGCGGCCTTGCGGTAGCAGTGAGAGGGGCTATCACAGCAGACCCTCTGGCAAGGAATGGAAAGCAAAGTCCCTGCAGCTTCTTATTTGTCTGGCTGATTCAAAATTCATTATCTCATGACTCACACTTTAATGTGTGAACTGACTCAACCAGAAAACAGTTTGGTTTCAGATGACATGGAATGATATGAAACTCAGTGTTTAATCTGTGGATGGCTCATTCACACATGCCAGGCACTCCTTGCTGCCGCTACAAGGGACATCATACCTTGTGAATTGGCCTTCAGTCACCCTGAGTTTGGTGGAACTTACTTCTAAATAAGTAAGTTCTCTTTTTCAACTACAGCCTTCTTACTTATTATTCAGAGTGAAATTGACAACTACTGATCTGTGACAGGCATTCAGTTACAAACATCAGAGGTTCTCTTTAGATTCATAAAAAAACTTAGGAAAGTCCCCTTTGTACAGCCACAGGACCTTTTTTTTTGCATTGGCTAGAGCACAGGTGGGCAAGCAGCTTGGGGGCCACATCCGGCCCATGAGTATCAGGTGCTGTAAACAAGAAGGCCTGATGTCCAGAGCCCTCAAATGCATGCAGAGACCCAGATGTACCCCTCAAGCTAAAAAAAATCTGCCTGTGCCTCAAGTTCAACTAGCATCTGTATATCTGAGGGGTGAGTGCCTTGGAGTTTTGTTAGATTCAGGTGGGGTAGCCATGTTGGTCTGAAGCAGCAGAACAAAGTTTGAGTCCAGTGGCAGTTTTAAGACCAACAAACTTTAATTCAAGGTATAAGCTTTTGTGTGCAAGCACACTTCTTCAGATTGGAGTTTTGTTAACGCTGAAATGAAATGAGGCTGGTGACACAGTGAAGCGGGCAGAGCCTGGCAATTCACACTATGTGATTCTGTTAATGCATTGCTGTCCAAGCTCCAAGTTGTTCCAGAGGAGAAAAATTCTGCAACATTTGGCAGTCCCTTTGTGATGTGGACAAGCATTTATTGTTCATATGTACTGAGGCATTCCCTTGGTTATTTATGTATGGATTGTTTTGCTGAGGCATGTCTAAAACCCAGCAAAATGTACATGAATATGCAGCAGCGGTTAGCCAGTGCTGAACATTCCTTAAAAGTGGCCTAATGTTTTGGTGATTGCACTAAATGTCATCTAGGAAAATTTAGAAAGGGTGTTTTAAAGTATTAAGGGCTTCTTCTTTTCTTCTATTGCTTTGTTTCTATTGCCCTTCATTCCCCTGTAAAGTAAAGGTAAAGGTTCCCTTGCTTGAAAGCCAGTCGAGTCCGCCTCTAGGGTTGCGGTGCTCATCTCTGTTTCAAAGCTGAAGAGCCAGCACTGTCCGAAGACGTTTCCGTGGTCATGTGACCGGCATGACCAAGGCGCACGGAACACTGTTACCTTCCCACTGAAGTGGTACCTATTTATCTAATTGCAATTTCTTGCTTTCGAACTGCTAGGCTGGCAGGAGCTGGAACTAAAGACGGGAGCTCACTCCGTCATGCGGCAACTTGGGTCTTGAACTGCTGAACTACTGACCTTCCACAGCCTGCAGTTCAGCATCTTAACCACTTGAGCCACCGCAGCTCCTCATTCCCCTGTGCCAAGTTCTAAAAAGTCCACAGATACAACCATCTATAAACTATACAGCTGTCAACTTTGACTGTTCCGGGGTTCCCCAAAGCAAAAGAATATGTGTAGTAGCACAATCTGTAGTCAACACCTTAGAAATACTTTTAATATTCTCTATTATTTTTTATTTTTCCTAATTGGCTTTCAGTTTTTTCAGGTTTTTTTAAAAATGAGTTTAGATTGCTGTGGCATCCTGAGTGTTTGCTATCACATTTCTCCCCTAGCAATGGTGAAGTTCTCAAAATGGCCTCTGGTTGAGGAGCCCTACTCCTGCCCCTCAGTGTCTCAGCTTTAACTTTGGTTGCTTGATAGTGATATAGGGAGCGTTATCAAGTCTCAGCTGACTTATGGCAACCCCGTAGGACTTTCAAGGCAAGAGAGGAACAGAGGAGGTGGCTTTCCACTGCCTGCCTCTGTGTAGCAACCCTGGACTGCCTTGATGGTCTCCCATCCAAGTACTAACCAGGGCTGACCCTGCTTAGCTTCTGAGATCTGACAAGATCAGGCTAGCTTGGGCTGTCCAGGTCAGGGCAAGAGAGAAAATACAGAGGTATTTTGTAATTATCTTTTTCCAGAGCCGAGCCTTGGCATTCACAGTACGTTGAGGCTCAGCCTTTGTGAACCCTGGCTAAGGTTTACTCCTGTCCTCCAGGTTCTTCTCCTTTAATTGCCAACTGACAAACTCTTTTTGGAAGCGGGGTAGGGTTGCTGAGGTAAATCTCTGAAAGATAGTTTCCCCTTCTTCCAAAACAAACTGTGTTTGATGCATGTATAACGCACACACCTTCCACCAGGAATCTGGTTGAAAGTAAATATACTGAAATATTTGAAAATGCCTTTCCTACTGAATCTTTGCTAGACTAACATATATACATTACATTAAAACTGACTTGTGCAAATATTAACTGTGATTCTCAGGATGTATGAGAGTTACCTAAAGAAAATAGGGAATAAACTGTAAACAGATTTCGTGTGGTCTGGTGGACAGTGTGATACAGTCCTGAGAAACCTACGCCTAAACCTCACCTCAACTGTTGGGTGACCTCAGTTCCCTCTCTGAAATGTGAGAATACAGCCTCCCCTCCCAGGATTGTACAGAGGCCAAAAGAGATTATAGGCACGATCCAGTCAAAGTTAAGCACAAGTCAGTGGTATTGATTTCAGAGGGAGATTTAATGGCATGCTTTAAAGTCAGTGCAGGCTTTAAAAGTGCTTAACATTGGCTGGATTGTGCCCAAAGATTGTAAAATATTCTGCATATTAAAGGTGTGGTTTACATTATTAGTAACTGGAGCATGGAACACTTAAGAAATCAACATACTGTGATCTGATAATTGAAGAAAAGCTTTACAGTTTATGGTTTGCGGAAGGGTAAGCAAGTAGAGGGACAGGTCAGTGCTTTGAGACTTTCTTAGCAGTTATGACCTTTCACTCTTAGATGTCTCATGGCAGAGCCATGTTGAGCAGAGGTTTCTGAAATTTTATGAATTGGACAGTATACCTCTCAGTTTTTAGAAATTACAATAATCAGTCCCCTCGGTGCAAATTACATGACCCTCATGGTTGCCAGGTCCCCCCTGGCCAACAGCAGGAGATGGGGAGGTAGGGTTGCCAGATCCAGGTTGGGGGAAGCTCCTGGAGATTTGGGGATGGAGCCTGGGGAGGACAGGGACCTCAGTGGGGTACAATGCCATAGAGTCCACCCTCCAAAGCTTGCATTTTCTTTAGGGGGAACTAATCTCTGTAGTCTGGAGATGAGCTGTAATTCCAGAGGATCTCCAGGTGCTACCTGGAGGCTGGCATCCCTATCCCTTGAGGCATGTCTTGGCTAATTGTTTGGGCCTGCACAAATGGTCTTTTGGTGTGTGTGGTAGTGGTGGGACAAGGTGCTAGAAAACGTTGATTCCCAGTGTGCACCAACACAGGCGTTACGCATCTGCAGGACCTGACACACTCCTGCAAATGCTAGAAAATGAGAGTTTGCAGCAGCATGCCGAAACATGAAGTCTGTGCATAATGGCAGATGCCTGCTACTGTCTTTTTTTGCAGGCCCAGAGTCGGTTGAGTAAAAGTCCTACCCCCTTTCTGGAGAGTTTGGCTCCGACCCTGGTTTGCCGGGGCTAAACTCCCACCAAGGTTGAGAGGCCTTAATCCCGTGTATCTTTTTCCTCCTCAGGGCGGTCCACTCACAGCCACTCACGCAGGCCCCTGCGGTTATATAAGGCAGGCGGCTGGCGAGGAGAAAGGGGATTTCATGGCCACGTCATACGCGCCCTTCTCCCGCCCGGCGCAGGTGGCCGCAGCCCGGGCAAAGGGCGCTGCGGCTGGTTCCACGTCTGAGGCGAAGAAGCCGCAGCCCCATACCAAAAGTGTGGGGGGGTCCTCCACTCCGCATTTTCTCCCCCCCACACACACACACCTTTCCTTCTCCCTCAGCTCACCACACACACACACCCGCCCCCCCGCCCGCTGTCAAAACAAAGAAACCCCCGGCGGCGCCTGTTCAAAGGCGGGAAAGGCGAGGCGCTGGGCT